TCAAGTGGCAAGCGGAGTAGGGAAACATTAGCAGGAACCGTGACAGTGCAGGCGCGGCGATTTGTAGTGCGACCTACATGGGATGCGTAATGTTGCACGACTCACAGAACAGCAATCGATAAGACGAGGAGTATGTCTCAAGGCTTGTTAAACAATAGCGGGGGCGGGAACGAGGGACAGGAGAAGGACGAACCCAGTAGGAAGGGGCGAGGAGCCATCGCAGCAGCAGCACCATGAATGCATAAGGTAACAGGAGGACTAGGGCGGCGATGATGAAAGAGGAGGGAGGAAGCAAGAGACTGTTTCGTTTTTGCAGGAGCTCGGTCAACGCATGCCTGCTGCCTGTCCACAGGATCATACCTGTTTATATCTAGTGCAGGAAGCGATCGAGACCTAGCTCGCGCGCCAGCTTCTCTGCCTCCCTCCTGCATGTTGCAGTGCGGGAACTGAACTTCCGCAGTTTCTCCGCCAGGTCTGCCGGTGGGCCGCGGGCAAGAAAGTCAAGGCCGGGGTCGCGCACCATCAGTAGGTTGTCTATCGTCGTCGCCCTGGACAGCATCACGTAGAGGTGCAGCCACAGAGCGTCCAGGTCGTTCGCATCCTTGCACCCTGCGTCAACAATGACTCCGCGGTGCATGGTGCGGCCCTGGCAGGCAGTGGACGTCAGGACCTCGGCGTGGGAGATGACGAAGCCAGTGCGCGTGACCTTGTATTTGCGGAAGTCGAACGGGCTCGAGCTCTGTGGCTCGATGAAGACGAGGCCCGCTGCGTTCGCAGCGTCGATGCTGTCATCGAGCTCCTTGAGCTTCTTTCCGCAGGGACCACCCTAGTACTTGTCCATGCGCACCCACACGCCGTACGGCAGGTACCGCAGGTACGCCCGACCTCCTTCGGCCTTCGCTCTCTCCACCACGCCCTCATCCTTCGGGTTGATGGCCACGTGCACGACCTCGCCCTCGGCGTCCTTGACGAGCCCCTTTGTCGAGGTCCAGGTGCTCCAGCAGGCGTATGCGCATGCCCACGTGCAGCGGCAGCATCCCGTGAATGCCGCCCGTGTCGCCCGGGTTGACGCGGTTGACCAGCTTCGCGGCCAGGTCCACGGGCAGCGAGGGCGAGGACTTGTCGGCTGCCTGGACGAGGTAGAGCACCCGGCCGAGGGACGCGGCGTCCCTCCTCGCCCGCATCATCATCATCATCATCACCCGAATGATTAGCGGGCATGATGGGCAACCTCACTTCCAAACCAAATCGCCACAGTGATCATTCATCATGCTCGTGGTCAAAAGAACTGAGTGACAAGAGAGCCCGAGGGGCAACCTCACCTCTGAAACGACCCGCGTCAGTGGTGACAGTTTCCCAGAATGGCAGCCCCCCAGGGACGGCGAGGTCTAATCTGAATCTGGGTGGTGCCTCACTCCGCGGGACTGACCAGCAGCCTTCGAAAGTGGTGACAGTTTCACAGATCGCAGCCCCCCCAGGGATGGTGAGGTCTAATCTGAATCTGCGTGGTGCCTCACTCCGCTGGACCCACCAACAGCCCTCGAAAGTGGTGACCGTTTCGCAGATCGCAGACCCCCAGGGATGGCGAGGTCTAATCTGAATCTGCGTGGTGCCTCACTCCGCTGGACCCACCAGCAGCCCTCGAACGTGGCGACAGTTTCGCAGATAGCAGCCCCCCAGGGATGGCGAGGTCTAATCTGAATCTGCGTGGTGCCTCACCCCGCTGGACCCACCAGCAGCCCTCGAATGTGGCGACAGTTTCGCAACCAGCAGCCCTCGAATGTGGCGTCAGTGTCGCAGATCGCAGCCCCCCAGGGACGGCGAGGTCTAATCTGAATCTGCGTGGTGCCTCACTCCGCTGGACCCACCCTCAGCCCTCGAATGTGGCGACAGTTTCGCAGATCGCAGCCCCCCAAGGATGGCGAGGTCTAATCTGAATCTGCGTGGTGCCTCACTCCGCTGGACCCACCAGCAGCCCTCGAATGTGGCGTCAGTGTCGCAGATCGCAGCCCCCCAGGGATGGCGAGGTCTAATCTGAATCTGCGTGGTGCCTCACTCCGCTGGACCCACCAGCAGCCCTCGAAAGTGACGACAGTTTCGCAGATCGCAGCCCCCCAGGGACGGCGAGGTCTAATCTGAATCTGCGTGGTGCCTCACTCCGCTGGACCCACCAGCAGCCCTCGAAACTGACGACAATTTCGCAGATCGCAAACCCCCAGGGATGGCGAGGTCTAATCTGAATCTGCGTGGTGCCTCACTCCGCTGGACCCACCAGCAGCCCTCGAAAGTCGAGGTCTAATCTGAATCTGCGTGGTGCCTCACTCCGCTGGACCCACCAGCAGCCCTCGAAAGTGACGACAGTTTCGCAGATCGCAGCCCCCCAGGGATGGCGAGGTCTAATCTGAATCTGCGTGGTGCCTCACTCCGCTGGACCCACCAGCAGCCCTCGAAAGTGGTGACAGTTTCGCAGATCGCAGCCCCCCAGGGATGGCGAGGTCTAATCTGAATCTGCGTGGTGCCTCACTCCGCTGGACCCACCAGCAGCCCTCGAAAGTGGCGACAGTTTCACAGATCGCAGCCCCAAAGGGATGACGTAAAAGGCAAGAGAGAAGAGGAGGAGCGAAGAGAGGAGGAGAAGGGAAGCAAGAGAGGAGGAGCGAAGAGAGGAGAAGGGATGCAAGAGAGAAGAGGAGGAGCGAAGAGAGGCGGAGAAGGGAAGCAAGAGAGGAGAGGAAGAGGGAAGAGAGGTGGAGGAGGCGGGAAGGAAGGAAGGTGGAGACCGCAGTGCTCTATTCAAAACGAGTAACCAACGCAGGAGGGTTGGGAAAAAGTTTAGGCGATCTTGGGGCCATCTTGAGTCCTCAAGGGCCCATCGGAAGCGAGAATGCGAGAAGCCTCAAAGCATTGTGTCTGAACACTTTTGGTCTCGGGACGCCCCGTGGCTATTTGGAGCCGCCTCGGGGTGGTCCTGCCTCTTGTTAAAGGCATGTTTGAGGAAATCCTGAGCCGTCGTGTACCATGTCGGAGGCCATCTTGAGCTACAGCAGTGGAGGCCCATGCCAAGAAACACCCTGTTCGCCTCCAGGGTACCCTGGTGGTCTGTCCATGGAGAGCGCGACGCGCCCACGCCAAAAGTCAATGAACGTCGTGGGGTCGCAGGGTTGGGTTTCTTGTGAAAGGTTTCTTGTGGACAGGCCTCCACTGTACACTAAGCCATGTTGTGTTGAGCCAAAAGCCTCCAAAGGATGTCCGCGAGATGCGAAAACCTGCCAGCGATGTCCGCGGTGTCCAGATGATGTTGACGTCGACCGAAGGGGCGTCCCTGACCAGCGTGGCCGCTCATCACCCCGAAAATCATATCTTGGGATCCTCTTTGGGCGCTCTTGCAGCGTTCTTGGGCGCCCTTGGGGCCGTATTGGAGCCCTCATGGACCCGTCTTGGGGCTCTCTCGGGCAAAAACCGTGCTGAGGTCTCAGAAGTCATTTGGAAACGACAAGGTGGGACGGCAAGTGCCAATGCACTTGGCAAGATTATGGCCTCTGCCCTCTTGGAAGGCTGGGTGACCACTCGCCACCGACTTCGGGCGGTATTGGGGGCCTCTCGGATGCACGGTGGAGGCCATGTTCGGCCCACTCGCAGTCATCCTGGGCCATTTTGTTGACGTTCTAACTCCCACGGCACTCCCGAGGTATGGGGGAGGGGCCAAGCTACCCCTCCAAAGGACGGCTGTCTCGCTCACTCCCGTTCGCCCTGCCACTATGTGAGTAGCACCCGAGCCTCAGCACGGGCGGGCGCCGCCAACGACAACCATCGGGACTCCGTGCAAATGCCAGCCAGGTGCGCGACGCCCGCGAGGTGCGCCGCGCGTGCCAGGGCACCCCCATCATCCATTTCAAGGAACAATGCCACATGATTGTGGAGCGCCCGCGCATGGTCCAAGATTTTGCCGCAACATGCACTTTGCATTTGTTTTTGACAGGGATGTCCCACTAGAGACAAGACGAAAGCTAAAATGTACCGCGGGGGGCCCGAACATGATCCAGATTTTGCCGCAACATGCACTTTGCATTTGTTTTTGACAGAGATGTCCCACTAGAGAAGTTATCGCGGGGCGCCCGAACAAGCTCCAGGTTTTGCCGCAAGGTGCATGTGCATTGCATTGTTTTCGGACCCGGATGATGGGGGTGGGTGGGGGGCAATGGCCCTGGTCAGGGGCCAGTAGAATCAGGGAGGGAGCGTTCATCAGCTTGGAGCAATGGTGAATGTCTCCCCCTGGGAAGCAAGAGCGCGCTAAGCCGCTGCCGCCCAGAGGGTTGGTGCGACTGCTGGCAAGCAGCCCCGGAGGGACCGCAGCGCGGAACCCCTGAGCAGCTCTCCTGACCCTCCGAGGCACCCGGAGAGCCCCGCGGAACCCCAGAGGGCCCGTCGGGGCCCTCGAGCGCCGCCGCGGAGCTCCTTCGCGCAGAGGCCGGCCAGAGCACCGTGGGCGCGGGGCCTGCCTCCCAGGCGTGCAATGTCTTGACTTTCTTGACACGGGGTCCCTGGAGGCCTCGACACTTTCCCCAGGGCCGGTGGTTCATCCCGAGTCGTTCGTTTTTATTGTCCCAGTGCCCAGGAAGGGCCTCCAGGGGGCAAAGGGCGGCCAGAGGCCCCCCGTCGCGGCGTCTGTTCCCGATGCGAGAACGTCTGCGGGGCATCGCGGCAAAGTCACGACCAGAGCCCTAGACCCCATCTTCTCTTTTTGCCGCATTTTTCGAGCTCTCCTCCTCCTCCTCCTCCTCCTCCTCCTCCTCCTCCTCCTCCTCCTCCTCCTCCTCCTCATCCTCCTCCTCCTTCGACCTGTGACGGCCCTGCAGGCCCGAAACCGAGCGGGAACCGCACGGTGTGATGCAGCGCTCGGATCTCCGGGAACCCCTTTTGGGGCACGGGGCATTGCTCGGGAGCGGGAGCGCGTCATCGCGGCCCGCGCGCGCGAGCGCGGTAGCGTGCTCTCGCGCGAGGCGGCGCCGAAGCCAGCCGAGGGGCCCGCGGCGGAGCTGACGGTCACGCAGGTGGTGCCCGTGAGGCCAGCGGCCCGCGGCGAGTGGTCGACGACGCGGGTGGAGCCCATGCGCCCCAGCGACACCACGCGGGGCGGCGAGGATCGGGGGGAGAAAGGTGCTGCGCGTGAGAGGGACCTTTCCCCCCGCCGCCGCTGCCGCAGCTGCTGCCTCTGAGGGCTGGCCCGGCCGGTTCGCGCTGCGCCTTGCAGCTAATTAGGCTTGCCCGTTGGCCCGGACACCCTGCTCGCCGCCTGCGCTTTCGCTTGCGGCCGCGCCCCAAAAAAAAGTAAGAGTGACCTTTCGCCGATGTGACCTTTGGTGCGGGCACAATGGGGTCCCCAGATGGCTGGACGCGTTGCGACAGCAGCGGCCTGGGCGCTCGGGCCGGGGCCCCCCCCGCGCCTCCCGAAAGCCCCGCGCACCGAAATTCGCGCTTGCCAAGGGCCACCCTGCTACGCCTCTTTGGCCACGGTCCACACAGGCCGTCGCCGATTCGCGAGGATGATCCACGAACTGACGCTGTGGTCAGGAGCCCAGACCTTCCGCGCATGGAAAAATGCCTTGCGGAGGTTCTTCATCGTTTTCGGCCTCTGAGCGCCCCCGCCAGGCCCCAGGGCTGTCAAGAATCGGCCCAGGATGCAAAACTGGCCCTGGAGGCAGGGTCGCGACTTCCGGTGACCCCGTGTTGAAGAAAAGTCGAGCGTTGCGTAATGCGGAGGCGACGAATGAGAGGGTGACGAAAGGTGCACCTTTCGTGGACCTCAGGGGCCCTACAGGGGCCTACTGGGGCCCAAAAGTGGCACGAAAGGCGCACTCGCATTAAGCAACGCCCGAAATCCATTCGTCGGATCTCGAGGAGCGCGGCGAGGGCAGCGGGAGCATGGTGGGCAGCAGCCCCAGCGAGGACGCGGCCGCAAAATCGGCCTTCCGGCCCGGCGGCGGGCGGAGGGGCGCGACGAGTGCGTGCTTCGGATCGGAGGCCCAGAGGGTGGACACCAGCACCAACATCGGCGGCGTGCCTCCACCGAGGGAAGGTGCTCCCGATCTCAGCCATGGTGCCGACACTCGGGCTTCCCAGGGAGCCGAAAGAGCACCACCGGCACCAGAATCTAGGATCGTCATCCCCCGGTGAAGGCACCCCCTTGTGTTGGCGTTGGCGCCCATCTGCAGGCCTTCACTCCGAGGCGAGAAATCCGGCATGGACAACTGTTCGGAGGTCCGCGCGGACTTCTTGGATCCGCGCTGGACGCGCCTCCCTGGTGCGCGGGGCGGGGGTCCAGCGCGGACTCTGCGCCGGCCCCCGTCGTGCAGACAGGCGTGCCAGGGTGGTGCCCAGGACGGCTCCCGAGCCCTCGGGCAGGCTTTGCGCCTGCTCTCCCGCCAGCACTGGGAAGCCGTAAGCTTCTCACTCCGGGCTCCCGTGAACAGTTTTGTTGATCCGCGGGTCGAGAGCGCACCTCTCCTGGTCAAAGCTGGGCGGGCCGCGCACGGCTTCAGGTGACAGAGGGAGGAAGGCAGAAGGAGGGGCCTCACGTCAAGGCCGGGAGAGGGCAGAGCCCCTGAATCGGGCGGTGCCGAAGGGCTCCCGTGAGCAGGTGCACGGCACGATGCCGTGGCGCTGCACTCCAGGAGGGGCCTCGCCCCTTCGAGGCCTCGAAGGAGTGGGCACCGCTTCCCCCCGCGGAAGGCGGCGGGAGCAGGACCGGGGGCGGCTCCGCCGGGGGGGGAGGCCGGCGGAGGGCGGCGGAGGTGAAAGATACGCCCCCAAGAGATGGTAACATTTTTCGGGCGAAGAGAACTATGCACATGCACCGATCCTGGCAAGGCCCATCCTTGACCCATGATCGGTGCATATGCCTTCCTGGCCAAGGTAGGAGGGCGTATGCACCGATCCTGGGTTCAGGATGGGCCTGGCCAGAATCGGTGTATGTGCATAGTTCTTTTTCCTCTAATTTTGGGTGGAGGGCGACGGAAGTAGGACGGTGGGGGGCGACGGAAGCAGGACGGGGACGGGTGGAGGGCGACGGAAGTAGGAGTGGGCATCGCTTCCCCCGCGGAAGGCGGCGGGAGCAGGACCGGGGGCGGCTCCGCCGGGGGGAGGCCGGCGGAAGGCGGCGGAGGTGAAAGATACGCTTCTGTCGGGCGTGTCCCCCTACAGGGGGGTGTTCGACGGAAGATAGAAAATACCCCAGAAATACCCCCAAAGGGTCAAACATACTCCAAAAATCATTCCCGGACTATTTTTGGGCTATGTTTTGATTATGTTTGGGGTATTTCTTATTTTTCGTCGAAAAACCCTTGTAGGGGGACAGGCCCGACTTAAAGATACGCCCCCAAGAGATGGTAGCATTTTTGGGTGGAGGGCGACGAAAGTAAAAGATGCGCCCTTAAGAGATGGGAAGTTTGGGGGTTCAGGGTTTTTGGAAGCCGCCATATAGGGAGCTTCTGCCACGCGTGGCGGTGGCCCCACGCAGTCTGTGATAACGCTCTCCCCCTCTCCAGCCACAGCTATTCCTGAGATTCGACGTTGCGAGCAATGTAACATCTCGAAAGATCACGACTGGAGCCCTAGGACCCATCTGTCTGCGGCATACTCAGAGCCAGATCGACCTGTGATCGCTGTGGCATTTCCACAACGGGGGGGCCCTCCCAAGTTTTAGGGCACGCAAGGTCGGATTCATAGAAGTAGCCCTGCACTTGGCACCTGCATCGCAGTGTGGAAAAAATGCGACGCCAGTCTGAGGCCACGGCAGATTGTGCAGTTCACGGTGCGTCCACGATCGTTGGGCACGGATTGTGATCGCGAGATTGACCACTTATATTCGGCATCTCTCGCAGGACAGTCCGCATATGCGACTGGACGCCTCCATTACGCCTGCACGCGCGCCACTTGAGGTAGCTCAGTGGTTTCTCGTCCACGTCGACGTGTTGTTCACCGTGCTGCTGCGGGGCTGGCCAGCCGATGCCCACTCGAGCTCTCGCTTTCAAGTACAGCCGGGGCCCTGAAGAAGGAACCCTTTTCGTCGGGAAGGGGCTGGGTGCTCCTTGAGTGTTTCACAGCTTGCCCAGGGCTTTCCTCCGGCCTTCGATCGGAAATCGAAGCTCAACTTATGGAGAAAAAGGGGCCTCGTGCCTTATTTAGGGTTCCTTAGGTCAACGCCCCTACTGTACCACAGGGATGAGCAAGGCAAGAGCCCGCCGCCCATCTGAGGGCCCCGTGCGCCGCAGCCCCGACGCCCACCGGCGAGCCCCAGTGCGGCGCTCGCGGCAGCCAGCGCTCGGCCCCCTCACGCCTCCCGCCGCGCCTCGCAGGCACCTATAGGCCTCGGCGCCGTGGCCCAGCCCTGGGCCCGCCTGCTCTGCCGGCCCCCCCCCCCTTGGCGTGGTCTCTGCGTTTCTGCTGCTCCCCCCTTCCCAGACCCCCGACGTCATGATTCTTACATGACGCGACCCCCAGAGGTCTGGACCCCTGCCCCGGGACCGGTCTTTCGTTCGGAGTCGTTTTTTGACGGTCCCGAGGCCCGGTCAGGGCCCCGGGAGGCCGAAAGTAACGGAAAACCTCCCGTCGCGATTTTTTCACCACGCGAGGGGGTCCGGGCCTGGCCCGCCCAGCCACCGCTGGGCCGCCGCCCCCTCCCAGCCGCTGCCCGGCGCCGCAGCGGTTCCCCCCCCACGGCGCTTCCCCCTTGCCGCAGCCAGTGGCTTGCCTGAGTGGGCCCGCCCTCCCCTCCTCCCGTCGCGCCGGGGCGCATCGCAGCATCGATTTGCATACAGGGCGCCCCCTGTTGCCAGATCGCCAGAGCAGCCACCCTCTGCCCAGCCGCCGACGCGAACAAAAACTGTTTCAGCAGACATCGCCCGGAGAATCAGCCAGAAAATTATGCATTATACGTTTCTCCGGTAGCGTATATACGCGCGGCGTTTACTGTTTTGCGCGATAAATGCAGGACTTGAAAAACACGATGGAAGATTTCATCACGAGTCGTTGTTCGACGCTCGCGGGGCCCGGCGAGGGCCCCCGCAGACCGAAAGCAGCAACAAGTTGGGTCCCGGAGGATGGGTCGAGAGCTCTGGGGGTCGACGCAGTGGAAAAGTCTTGACTCGTGGGGTCTGGGCACGGGAGGTTCGGGACAAGCGGCCTCCATTGCGTTCAGGGAATAACTCTTCTGGGGTGGACAGGCTCTGGGCGCCCACTGATCAGGGACTGGGGCCTGATAGCCCACCCTGCCCAGGAACGTTCGGATTCGCTGTCGGGGGCTTATCGCCGATCGATCGGAGATCTATTTTATTGATATGTTTACGTGTGTATATATATACACATACATACATATACATATACATATACATATACATTCACATACACATATACATATACATATACATGTGTATATATATATATATATATATATATATATATATATATATAGCCGATTCCAGGTCGATGCCTCCTCCCCGAGCCCGTTGCCCCAAAGGCTCCCTCTCATCTGCAGGAGGAGACCTGGACACGAACCCCCTCCCGAGCGCGTCCGCCCTGCACGCCGCAGGTGGCCGCTGGCAGGAAGGAAACCGTTGCCTGCAGTACCCCGGCCCTGGCCCCCGACGACATGGACGGCACCCAGGAGGATGTGGGATCTAGGTCGCCCGCGGGCGTGCGGAGATCATCGCTCGCCACAGAGAAAGCGGGTCCAGAGGGAAACGGTTCTTGGCGGGTTTGGGCCGTCTTCGAGCTGCTTGGGCCTCTCCCCCAGCCCCCGTGACCGTCTGGACACGACCCGGGATGAAGAGCCGGTCTTGCGGAAGGCCCCCGGGTCCCAGACCAGTTTCTTTCAGGATCTGCGTGCTTTCTACCAACCCTGCACGCGGGCCGAGTCGAATCGCCGTAGCCCGGGCTGCCTGGACGCGCGTGCGGACTGCCCTTGCTGCGCTGCGGCGTAAAAAAAATGACCCCCCCCCCCAAAAAAAAAAGTGTTCGCACCAAAACCGCGAGCCGCAGAGCTGCCTTCTCCAGAGGGGCGGCGCAAGGGCGCGGAGCTGGCCTCACGGTGCGCACTCGCAGGGCGCAAAGTTGCGTGGCCCATGTGATCGCTGGGTGAGCGGCTGGCATGGTCCTTCAAGCGATGGCCCTGCCGGGAGCCGACCCACAACGGCACTCCCCCCCCCAACAAATAAAACAAAAACAACAAAACAAAAAACACAAACAAAAAAAAAAAAAACGAATAACAAAAAAAAAAAAAAAAAAAAAAAAAAAAAAAAAAACGCTGGCCTTCCAGGAAGCAGGGTTGCCACGCGTTCGAGGGTTGCAGCGGTCGGTGGTCTGGCGTGGAGCTGGCCCGCCTTGCGCTCCCCCGTGGCTGACGCTCGCAGCGCCCGTCGCGGGCGGCGCGAGGACGGGAACCGGAGCGCGCTTCGCGAAGCGCAAAAGGCGGGTGACCCAGGCTGCAGCTCCCGCTTCTGCTTTGCTTCGTGCCCTACGGCCGCAGCTCCTCGCCCTCGCCGCCCCGCCGCGGGCGCCCCGCGCCGGCCGCGGCGCGCAGTGGGCGGGCGGCCGCGACTGGCCCCGCGCGGCCCCGGGCGGCCGCGGGCTCTGGCAGCGCCTCGCCCTCGGGCGGAGGCAGCGACGGCCCGTCGACGCACCCTGAGACCCTGGCGTTTCCCCGCCCTGCTTTGCTTCTCGCCCAAGCAAGTCGCACTTCCCCGTGCTCTGAAAGCGGCGCGACTGCCGGCTGCGATTGCGCGCTAGCGTCGGGGGTTGCGCTCCTCGGCAAAAACTGCATGAGGAGGTCACGACTGGGTCCATCTCGGACGTCACAACAGAAGGAAGAGGAGTTGGAGGGCAGGGACATCGAGGGGGAGGGAAAAGCTGACAGCTGGGGGAGGCGGAGAGTTTGGCAGGAGAAGCGGGGGTGGACTTCGAGGGAGAGGATGAGGCAAAGGTGCAAGAGGGAGGAGGAGGAGGAGGAGGAGGAGGAGGAAGAGGAGGAGGAGGAGGAGGAGGACGCAGAAGAGGACGAGGACGAGGAAGACGAGATGAGACGAGATGAGACAGCGGCCTAAAGCCAGGTTCGCAGTCTTAGTCGACGGGCTCGCCGTCGGAGTCAGACGAGGCCTCCCCCTCCGAGTCATCTGCACAGGGTCCTGCCGCGGGCTTCCACCGCAGCCAAATCAGCCTCGCCTAAGCCAAAGGCTCCTAGCACGCAGGGCCGGGGATCGCTGGGGCAAGGGACCCCCGACACCGACCCCAGGGACCCACCAGGCTGCGGTCCCCCTTGGTCCTGCGGGCTGGGACTGAACAGGGAGCGCATCCTCAAACGAATCTCCACAGGGACTCCTTCCGGCGCCTCCAGCACCAGATCCTTGAGCCCCTGCTTGTAAGACGGGTACTGCCTCGCCCTGATTCGACGCAGCTGGTCGACCAGGCCGGAACCAGCATGCTCACGGTAGCAGGGTTGGAGAAGGGCTCTCGTGGGCCTAAAGCCCGAGAAGAAGCCCCACAGGCACAACCGAACGACACGGCACGATTGTCGTCACGCCCGCTCCTCGTCACCATTTTCGCATGCAACAAAGGGTGACCATTTAAAGTTATAGCCCGCGTCACGGAATTCCTCCCACCCCTCGGCGGGAGGCTGAGCTGGCGCATCAAACGATTGAGGCACATCCTCAGGCGCTGGGTCTGGAGCCTCCTCGGCTGCAGCACTCGCCCCAAGGTAGGCCTCAAGCAAGTCGTCGTGATCCTTCCCCACCAGTCCATCCCCCAACAGCGCGTGAACCTCCCCCGACCACTGAGCAGGCTCACGTGCTAAATCTGAGAGCCCGCGCCAAAGGTGGTAGTGTTTTTCCTCTACCCCGTGGCTGCTCGCTCCTCGCTTCGCGAATTCGTCAGCAGCATCGTTGCCGCGCTTCTCCCACAGCGTAGTCCTGCCGCTGTGCACGTCGGTCATGCTGCAGTGAGCCCTCGTTTTGTGAGCCTCGAAGTCCGCGGGGCCGAAAGAAGCCCAGAAAGGGGCCCACATGTGTGCTCTCGGGGTCCCGCACCCCGAACCAGAGCCTGGCCCTTTCTGCAGCGTCGCGATGGTGCCTATACAATCTCCGTATATCTGGAACGGAGGTATCGTAACCTGCGCGAGGATGCTCACAGCGAAATCCTCTGCGTCCCTCGCCGTTTGACGGGGGGCGACATCCAGAGGTAGAAGGCCATAGGCCGCGGCTAACACGTGACCATGGTCATCGCACATGACCGCCGACCAACCTGCGCGGGCTAAACCTGGCGCTCGGGTCCACATCGCCAAGCCGTCGGTGAATAACAGCCCCGATAGGTAGCCACTGCTGGGCCTTTTAAACCGATAGATAGTCTGAGCAGGCATGGGGAACGTGAATGGGGGCCCTGGATCAGGGAAAATGCCCCTGGCGAAAAGCTCCCCAGCTTCAAAACTCCAGGACTTCACCGCGCGGGCTCTCCGGAGGTGGTCCGTTGTGACCCTGTCTTTCTTGAGCGCCGCGTGCGCGTCACAAGCATAACAACGATGCCAGATCGACCCATCGGGGTCACCACACAGAGCGCAAGCTCCTGAGGCAGCCAAGCCATGCTTGTGCAGACGAGCTTGGGACCACCAAGCTCCGGAGAAAACTGAGCGCAAGGCACGGTGGTGCCTGACGGTCCGAACGGACGTCTTCTTTGAAAAGAGCTGATTTGAACAAGCCCAAAAAATGGGCAGCTTCCACGGACTGGAGTGCGCCTCCAGTGCTCTACGGTCGGAGGTTCTACTCACTCCGGCCTCCGCCAGCCGCTTCAGCAAAGAAGGCGCCAATCGAACGAGGTTGACCTCTTGCACTTGATCTGTGCGAATAACCTGCGCAGACGCAGCCTCCCAACCGATGCCTTGCAACGTGAGGTAGAAAACATCAGCCGGAGTCGCAGCTCCTGTCCACGGCCTTGTCGCAGCCTGGCATCTGGCCCCAGCTGCACCGAGCGTTTTGGCCAAGCTCAGCGGCTTCGGATCCCCTTCCCAGACTGCGGAGGCCCACTGGTGCAGCACAAGCCCCGTCGAGATCACCCACGGATCCACGCGGAAGCCGTTCTTGGACGTGCAGAGGTCTGAGACCCACCGTGGCACCCTTCGGGGCAGACGCCCGAGGCTCCGACACGCGGCAGCTCGCAGCCGGATGCAGCTCGGAGGGCGGCACGCCCGCAACACACAGTCCCCACAGCGCAGCCGCTGTCGGGCCAGTTCTCTGAATCCAAGCAACATCAGAGGAGGAGGAGGAGGAGGAGGAGGAGGAGGAGGAGGGCGGAGGAGGAGGAGGAGGGCGGAGGAGGAGGAGGAGGAGGAAGAGGAGGAGGCGGAGGAGGCGGAGGACGCGGAGGACGCGAAGGAGGAGGAGGAGGAGGAGGAGGAGCTCCAGCCTCCCGCAGACCGGCCAGGCGCCCCGAGGCCCTGGCTGCTCTGCTTCACCGCGCTCGGGCCACGCCAGCGCGACGGACCCCTCCTGGCGGCGCGCCCGTGCCGAGAGGACGTGCCGGGTCGACTCTGCTCGAGGCTGGTAGAGTCCAATGGTCGCACAACCGCTGAGCCAAAGCTGCGCTGCTCGCCAAAAAGGTGCGCTTCGTCGAATTTGATGGGGAGGCCGAGCTCCCGGAGGTATCCGAAGAGGCCCTCGACCGCCGAAGGGAGCTGGCCAACCACCAGCTCCTGCGGTCCGATGCACTGCAGGGCCACGGCGTCGACAGCGCTCCTTGCCTGCAGCTGCGGGCGGCCGTGCGCTATCGACGACAGCGGCCCCAGGAGTAATGGTTTGGCCAACGTCGTCGCCGCCGAACATGCGGCCACGATAGCCCCCGTTGCGTGCAGGAACTCCGAGATCGCTCCGTCGTACAGCAACGTTCGAAAGCCCGAGTAGATCGTGACAAGACCCCTCAGGAGCTGGAGGACGACGAGCAGGAGGCGAACACCAGACTCCCAGCGTCTGGGTTGTTTCAACGCGTGGGCCTCGGGATTTGCGACCCCCTCCTGGGGTCAAGGCGTTCGTCCCTGGCATCCCGTGGACGGCCCCGGGCCCCGGAAACGGCCCTTGCAAGCCGAAGGCCAAGAAGGCAAAAAAGAAAAAAATAACAAATGCAAGCTTTCGCAGCTCCGCGCGGGCTTGGATCGGCGCTGGGCCCCCTGCGGACCCCCGAACGCCGATGCGTATGCCGTCTTCTGCCCCATCCACGAACGCGGCGGGAAAATCCGCGCTGGTCTTCTTTTATAGGTGTTGGAGACTTGGCATCGGGCGGTCAAGATCGACCCCCAGACATCTCCAGGGGCGCTTTCGAGCCACGGTCTCGAGACGCATCCTCCAGCCGTGGCCACGAAGGCGCCACGGGAGCCCCCAAAAAGGGCCAAAGAGGTCCACGGGCTTCGGCCCTCGCCCCCTGCGATCCGACGTCGCGCCAAGAATTTGACCGTCGTGAAAACCACGACGGGAGACCTGGGCCCCATCTTCCTGCTGCATTCTGCGAGAGCCAGATCGATAGGCCATGGCTCCCCTGGACCCGCAGCAGGGCGCAAACGCCCGGCGCGGACGAGGAACCCAGCGCCTGGCTCTCGGGGTGGCGTGGGCGCGCCCAGGCTGTGCGCAGCCCGCCCAGCCTTTGGCGGCAGAGGCTCGCTCGCGCCCCGCCGGCCAAAAAGGCGTGTGCGCGCCCAGGCTCGCACGACAGGAGCTCTGAGGATGTGGGCTCAGAGCTTCGAGATGTGGGGTAAAAGAGTCCTGGAGAGAGATGGTGGATCCAATGGGCACCCTTTTGCGGGACCGTCTGGAAAATGACGCCGCCGAGGAGGAGGAGGAGGAGGAGGAGGAGGAGGAGGCGGAGGAGGGGGAGGAGGAGGGGGAGGAGGAGGGGGGAGGAGGAGGAGGAGGAGGAGGAGGAGGAGGAGGAGGAGGAGGAGGAGGGCTGCACCGCGCGCGCCCTGTGCGCGCCCGGCCTGCGCCTCCGCCCGCCCGCCGCCTCCAGGAGGGCAGCCGCCTCGGCACGGGCGACTCGATCCAGGTCGTCAAGGAGTGCTCCCCGCAGATGCCCGGGCAGGTCCGGCGGCGCAGCCGCCCCGGAGCGGCCTCCTCCCGCCCGTCGCGGCGGCAGCTCCTCGCCGCCTCCTCCTCCTCCTCCTCCTCCTCCTTCTCCTCCTCCTCCTCCTTCTCCTCCTCCTCCTCGTCCTCCTCTTCGTCCTCCTCCTCGTCCTCCTCCTCTTCCCTCGAGATCCAGAGCCCTCCGCGCCGCGCAAACGAAATCGCGCCCGTGCCCCCCCCACCCACCCACCCCGAACGGTCCGCTTCGCTCCGACGTCGACGCCCGAGCCTCCCCGAAGTAGCCTCCTCTCGCGAGTCGCGGCGAGAGCTCCAGACCCCCCCGCGCCGCAGAACAAGATCGCGCCCGCTTCGCTCTGGCGTGGACGCCCGGACGGCGCCGTGCTCGGGCTGGCTTCGCTTTTTCGGCGCGGCCGGTCCGACCGCCCCGCGGGAGGAGTGCCGCGAGGGGCTCGTCGCGGAAGGAGTGCCGCGCGTGTTCTCGGAGGCTGCGCTGCACGCGGCGGGAGGCAGCATTACGCGTATGCGGGGGGCTGTGGTCGCCCCTGTCTTCGGCGAGGGTCTCCGACGAAGGCGTGTAATGCCCACCCCTGGGCTGTCCATCCTCGTTGCCTCCCGCCGACGGGAGGCCGACCCGGCGCGTACCCATGCCGAAAGAGCTGAGAAAAGCGTAGCGCTTCCTGCGGAGCTGTTCTTTCCGCGTGGCCTACGACCCTCCCACGTCGCACGCGTTTCGCCCTTCTTCGAGCCTTGTACGCTCAGGGTCGCTTGCCCGTCGCTCTCTCCTCGTTGCGTTTTACGCTCCGTCCGAACTCATGCAGCTTGCGCGCCCCCTCGTTCCTCTCCACAGCTGCGCCGGGCATCCTCAGACGCAGCGTGGGTTCATTTTGGCAGGCTTAGAAAAGACGATCAACAAAAAACGGTTTGGGGTGTACTCGTTGTTGGCGTAGGGCGCTTGCGTGAATGTCGAGGGGCCCCGCAGCACTGAGCAACGGCGCTGCGTTGACCTTTGCACGCCCTTCCCGTCGCGAGAGTGCCTAGGCTTTTTCCCGGGGCAGGCCTCACGTTCTATGTTCGCACGTTGCAGGTATTGCTTTGCGGCCGTGCGGTTGAGCGGGAGCTGTATAAACCGACACATGCACGCAAACCACTGGCATCTACGCGCCAAGGTTCGCACGACAAGAGCAGTAAGATGTGAGCAAGGGCCAGGGGGAGATGGTTAATCCAACCAACACCCTTGCGGGAGGACAGTCTGGAATGACGCCGTCAGGCCTTCAGATTGAGGTGCAGTAGCATGGTTGCCGCGGAGCTCAGGCGGGCCTGCCACACCTTGCGATGAGTTTGGCGCAGGTAGTGCTTCCTGGAAGCCTGAAAGCCGCTTCCACACTTCGAGATTGCAGGTCAAAGAAGCCAGGGGTCACCGATGGGTTGCTAAACCTTGCGATTTGACAAACTGCTGAACAGCATTCCTAAATTCAGTGAGAGTATAAGTTATTAGCCCAAAACTTAAGAACTACACTTGAAGTCGTTGGAAACAAACGGTTGCCGAACAGACGTCCGCAAAAATATTGACAGCGATTTTGCGTCTTGCATTTATCGGGCAAGAAGCATGGTGAAAAACCGTATGATTTTAGATCGCCGCATCGCGTTCTGCGTGAGGAGTGCGTCCGGTTTCGGAAAGTTGAAGATGTCCCACACGAAACGGCCAAATTAGTATCGACTGCGACGCAAAAAAACGCATTTGATCCCTGCTCCCTCGCAGAAGTGCGTATGCCCCTAAACTCGTCGCCTGTTGCTGGGCTGGTTCAGGCGAGGACACGCAGAGAGGAAGAAGAGGATGAGGAGGATGAGGAGGGGGAGGGGAAGCAAGGTAGCTTCACGTTGTGTCGACGCGGCAGCGACCCCAGCGCGGACGTTCAAGGTTGAACGCCGCCAGGCGCCCGTAACCAGCCGACATCAAGTGATCTGAGACATCGGAGAGCCGCCATCGTTCAAGGTTGAGCAGTCCGTGACGACCACGAAACCATCGCCGCCGCCGTGACAGCACGAGCCTGCCGTGCGCAGTGTGCGCGCGGAGGTCGACGACGACCTGCTGAACAAGGCCAAAGTCTACCAGGGCCCGGCGCCCCGGGAGGCGCCTGCATGGGCGAGGGCGGCAGGGGGAAGGCAGAGGCTGAGGAGGGGGGGGGGCTGCTCCGCGGGCCGGAGGGCACGCCCCGCGGGGCCCGTGCACCATCCCCTCTCCGTCCCTCGCCCTCGTGGGCATTGCCCGCCACGTGCGCTCTGCATGCGTCTGCGGGGCCTTTCACGAGGTGGCTATTTGGGGAGGGGAGGACTACCCAGAGATCCAACGTCTCGAAAATCAAGACGGAGGTTTTTCGCAAATTTCGGCCCCTAGGGGCCCTCGCCGGGCCCCGGGACCGTCAAAAAACGACTCAGGATGAAAAAGCGGTCTTGGGGAATGGATCGAGGTTTCCGGGGACCGCGCATTGAAAAAATCACGTCATCGGATCTCTGGGTATCACGGGGGAGGTGGGAGATCAGTCGGATGCTCCCAGACGCGTGTCCCTTTGCCCAATGTGGGGTCCAGGTCCGTCGTGCGCCTCACGGCTGAAGGTTGACCGCGATCGGCTCGCTCGAACCGAGTCACTCTTGGGGTGCGCGCTGCGCCGTTGCTCTCGTCTTGTGAGTCTGGGCGCGTGTGCTGGTGGTGGTCACAGCAGAAGGGAAACAAGTCCCGAGCAGAGCAGCACGCAGCACGACCACGACAAGGCCGACGACGGCGACAACGGAGGCGAGACGCGCAGTCGATCCGAACGGGCACGTGTGGACTGCAGGGTATGCCAAGCAGGAGGTGCGGGGGGGGGGGATTCGAGCCTGGTTTCCGTGCCTCTCTGCCCCCGGGGCTTTGCCGACGGTGGCACGGCCCGAGGGGTTTTGCCCACCCTCCTCGGTCTGTGGCCCCGTGGCCTCTCGGCACGCGCAGGGGCTGGAACGCCGCTGCGCTTGGCGCAGTCACGGCGCGGCGGCCCTGATGTCATGTCGGAGCAATCCTCTCCGTCCCGCTCATGATACCCTCACACACTTCTCTCCCTCTCTCTCTCTCTTTCTCTCTCTCTCTCTTTCTCTCCCTCCCTCCCTCCCTCCCACTCTATTTTCATTTCTCTCTCTCTCTCTCTCTCCCTCTCTCTCTAAGTAGCGCCTCGCCGTCGCTCTTATGTGATGTGCTTGACCCCTGGCATATCCACCAGCCCATCAAGAAGCGATCCCCAGGCGAGCCGTCGTGACGAGAACAGGCGAGGAGCATTACGAAACCAAAGGGGGACGCCAGCCAAACCTGATGAGGGATGAGCTCAGCGGTGGTGCGACGCCACACGGAAGTTCTGCTACAGATTCTGCCCTCGCGAGGGCAGCACCACACGGCATGGCTCATAGCGACGCCACGCCAAAGCATCATTGCCAGCACGGCGACACCAACAATACCGCGTGGCTACACGCAGCACGACAACCTTTGCCCCGACATCCGCCGATGAGGTCGTCTCCATCCGCGGCCCAGGGGTCCCCACCGCTTCCCCGGATCCACTCTGGTGGAGCCGGGGCCGGCCCGAGGGCGCCCCCGAAAGCCGGGATTGAGGCCGAGCGCGACGAGCGAAGGAAACGCTTTCTTGATCCGCGGGTCGAGAGATCACCCAGGAATCCTCAGGATTCCATTGGATCCTGAGGCCGTTGCCACTGCGACTGTCGTTGCGAATGCGGCTGCGACTGCGAGAACGGCAGAATTCTACAGCTGGATTCTCACCTGAATCGTCAGGGGAATGCTTCCAGATCTGCTTATACACATCGCCATTAGGTTGCTCTGCCGGGACAATTTTGATTCGCGGGTCGAGAGATCACCTCTTCCGGTCGAGGCCGAGCGGGCCGCGCAGAGCTTGAATTGCGCAGAAAAGGGGGAGGAGAGGGGGGGCGCAGCCTCGGAGCGAGGCCGGGAGGAGGCAGAGCCTCGGAACACCGGGCGGTGTCGAGGTCGACGAAGAGGAGCGAAGGAGACACCTCGGCGAAGATCTGGGCGGCGGTCCTCGCCCGCGCGAGCCAGACGCGTGCCGCGAGCGAGCGAGGGGCCACGGCCCCACGCGCGCCTCCCTCTCTCTCGAGGCGGGCGCTGGCGCTCGCGCCTCGCCGCGCGTGCGCCTCGGCCAGCGCCTCGCGCGCTCCTCGCTCGCTCGGGGAGGGACCGGCTCGCGCAGGCCCGAAGCTGGCCGAGAGGGCTCGCCCACTGGAGGAGGCCTCTCGAAGCGCTCGTCGAGCCTCCTCCTCCTCCTCCTCCTCCTCCTCCTCCTCCTCCTCCTCCTCCTCCTCCTCGAGATGGCGACCTCGTCGGAGCTCTTCGGCTTTTCCCTCGAGGCCCTGCCGGGAGCCATCGGCAGAACAGTCAGATCTGCATCGGGGGCACGAGCAATGTGGGGGCCCCCATTCAGGGTGTCTCTGAGCCACGCTCGATTCGAGAGCGGTCCCACTTTGGGGGGCGCGTGCCGCCTTCATCTTGGGCGCTCCCACGCCTCGGGAACCCCCAAGGTCCAGACCGCTGCAGGGAGGATGTTGAAGGTGAACCCCTCCCCGAGATGGAAGGACGGGCTGTCCCGGAGAAGTTGCGAAGCCCACGCCCGCGTTGCCCGTCACGCGCGGGCAAGTGGGGTAGGGAGCCGAGGAAAACACGAGCCAAGGGCCCTCTGTCCAGAGCTCACTGTCAGCCCAAGCCTCCGATAGCCTGCCACGCATTGCGGAAGACGAAGGGTCGACACCCTGAGCTGGGATTCGCACCTCCGGGGAGCAGCTCGGCAGGCATCGCTACCGAGCAAGCCGCTCGTCTCCCCAGCGGGGAGACACGGAGTTGGCAAGGGGGGCGACGGTGCAGCGCGGTGGAGTGGGCGAGGGGGGCGCTCGAGAGATGCGCGGCGCGCTCAAAGGGGTGGCGTGGGGGAGGCCTTTCAACAAGGCGGGGGGCTCCCCAAAGTTTAGGGAGCCACCAGCTTTGGTTCGGTACCAAACTGTTCGGCGTGCTTGAATTCTAGTCGGTTCGGTTTGGCCGTTTGAGCCGGTTTTGGCCCACCGGTTCGGTTCGAATTGACCGGTCTCGTCCCGACCGGTTCGGTCAGGATTTCGGCCGATTCGGTTTCAGAAGTCGCTAGGCTCATGCCTACTAGCTCGGTTCAGAATACACCATGCTGAACGACACGGGCCTTCTCAGAAGCCACCGGGCCTTTCTGAGGAGGCCCCCGCCTCCCTCGCCCCCTCGGAAGGCCACCCCGCGCCGCAGGCAGACGCTGCGCCGTCGTCATCGTCGTCGTAGGCGGACGCCGACGCCGACGACGACGACGACGATGACGACGACGACGACAACGACGACGACGACGACGACGACGACGAGATGGTGCGCGCCGCCACGACAGAGCCCCGCGCCGCAGGCAGACGGGGCGGCCGCGGTGGCCTGGCCGGCGACGCCCCCCGTGCTCGCGTCGCTTGGCCAGAGGCCTTCCCGCCCCGCTCAGCGCGGCGCCCCTGCCTGCCGACGCTACGACGACGACGACGGCGACGACGACGACGACGACGACGACGACGACGACGACGACGAGGACAAGGATGACGACGAGGACGACGTCCGACGACGTCCGACGACGGCCGACGACGGCCGCCGACGTTGGCCCCGCGGCTGAGGACGAAGGCGCCCCCCGCGCCGCCCCTGGGCCTCCGCCCTCCGCACCTTCCGCGCGGCAGGTGCCGCTGCGACGCGGCCGCAGTGGCCACCGAGGCCGCCTCCGCGGCCTCGACTGGGGTCGGCCGCGGCGGCGGCCGCGGCGCCTGCCGTGCGGAAGGCGCGGAGGGTGAAGATCGAGGGGCCTCCCGCCAGTGCCACCCCCTTCTCCCCACCATGGACAAGGAAGCGATCCATCCTTGAGGGGGAGAGGTCCCGAGAGGCCTCGCGCCCGCTGATCGCCCGTGGCCCGCCCTGGCCATATGGGCGGTTGTGCAAGCACGGCTCGTGATGAAAACTCGGCTCCAGGGGGAGGCCCGGGGGTCCAGGACCTCTTCCTCCTCCTCCTCTGGCCCGACATGCGCCATGGGTCTGAGAGAGGAGAGCGTCCACCGTCCACGGGCGCCAGATGTGCTGTCATCATTTTGCCTTTTCAAAAAAAAAACGTCATGTCTGTGTCAGCCCTCGTGGTGCTGCGGCGTCCTTGGGGGGGGTCCCCTCGGCCGGGCCCCGGCCTCCAGTGCCGCAGCTCACTCCGAGGCCCAGATTTTTCAGGTCCGGTGCAGGAAGATGGCGGCACTGGGGGCAGGAGCTGGCTGCCTGCGGCCGGGTCACCCGAGGGGGCGCGGAAGTCGTCGCGCTCTGCCCCTCGTGGCTTGGGTTGGCACGGCCTGAGTTGCGGCGGTGGGCCTGCTCGCGCTAGGTAATTTAGGACCTCGCGCGTCCCGCCCCGACCTTGACACACCGTGGGCGTGCTCACCTGCGGTCGGCTGCGAAAAAATCGTGGCTTGGGCTGGCACGGCACCCTCCTCCGGGGCGGCGGCGCGGGGACGCGAAGGGAGCCGCGCGTCGCGCACCGCGGGGCGCGATGCGCGCAGAGTTGGGCGTCCTGCGCGAGAGAAGTCGTACCGAATCTGGTCGCAGTCGACGCGACGCCGCCGGGCGGCGTTCGACGATCCCAGACCCCCTCGCGCTGAGAAAAAATCGCGACGGGAGGTTTTTCGCTGTTTTCGGCCCCCAGGGGCCCTCGCCGGGCCTCGGGGCCGTCGAAACACGATTCAGAACGAAAACCCGGCCCCGGGGAAGGGGTCCAGATTTTTGGGGTCGAAGTTTTGGAAAACGACGTCGGGGGTCTGGGATGCGTCATCGTCGAGCGGCACTTTCCGAGCCGGGAGGCGCAGCGGGCACCACCCCCTCTGCTGAGCGGCCCCTTCGGAGCCGGCGGGCGCGCGGGGCTCCTGGCCGAGGGCCCCCCCGCGCGCGCAGCCCGACGCGTTGGCTTCAGCTGTCGAGGGCGGGTGCAGGCTGCCCGCCGCGCGACTTCAGCTTCCGCCGCGTCGTTGGCGGCGAAACTTGCACTCCGGGTTTCTTAAGAAGCGTCGGGGGGGGGGGGGGGGGCGCATCACCCCCGCCGACAGCCCCACATCGACCCCCGTCGCGGGCACCCACCGCGCGCCGAAGGCGCTCCGACACCCGTCGCGGCGCGACGGCGAGGCGAAGATGACCCGCGTCGGGGGGGCACACCCCCGCGCTGATTAAGAAACCCAGAGTAGCCAGGGAATGGTCCCTCCTCCCTGCCGCTCGCCGCCCCCTGGCGCCGCTCCGGGACGGGCGCACACGGGCCTCGCGCTCGGGAAGGGCCCCCGGGCCCGGCCCTCGCCAGGGCGCACTGCTGCCGCGCAGACGCTCGCGATCGAGGGTTGACTCCACGTAAGAGCCACCCTTCGCTGGAGTGACCGACCTCCCCAGACCCCATTGCACTGTGGAAAAAATCACCGCGGGAGGCCTTCGCAAGCGTCGGCCTCGAGGAGCCCTCACTGGGCCTCGGAACCGTCAGAAAGCGATTCAGTATGAAAAACCGGCCAGTCCCGGGGAAGGGGTCCAGACCTCTGAGGGCCGACTTTTTTGTTTTTTTTTTTTTAAAAAAAAAAAAAAAAAAAAAAAAAAAAAAAAAAAAAAAAAAAAAAAAAAAAAAAAAAAAAAAAAAAAAAAAAAAAAAAAAAAGTTGCGGGGCTTGGTGGGGCCGCCCTGTCGTTGAGTTCCAGGGCTTCGTCGGCAGCGGCCTGCGCGCTCAGGCTCGGCCCCCGCAGGGCCAAGTCGGGCGTGCCCCCCTACGGGCGGATTTCGGACGAAAAATTAAAGATACCCCCAAAAATACCCCCAAAATACCCCCAAGTGGTCAAAAAAGATACCCCCAAAATACCCTCAAAGTGGTCAAAAATACCCCCAAAATACCCCCAAAGATACGAAAAATTAAAGATACCCCCAAAATACCCCCAAGTGGTCAAAAAAAGACCCCCAAAGAATACAGCCAGGAAAAGAAAATCGTCCCTGGATTATCTTGTGCCTATTTTTGAGCACTCCTCCTGCAGAGGGACAGGCCCGACTTAACGGCTGGGCCGCGCACCACCGGCCACTCTTTCGGGTCGGGCGAAAGGGGGGGATAGCAAAGGGGGGGTTTGAGAATCAGCTCACGTAGCTGATTTTCCGGCGCCTCCCGGCGCCGGAGGCGGCTATGTATCGAGGAATGGGCCCCTCGGTGAGGCCGAAACCAGCTGCATGCAGCAAATTTCGTAACCCCCCCTTTCCCAATCCCCCCCTTTCGCCCGACCCGACTCTTGCCCAGGGCCGCGCCTGCGTGTCGCCGAAGGGTGCGGGGGGGCAGAGGAAGGCTGCTGCGGCAGGCGCGTGCCGTGGCGGCGCGGTGGCGACCCTGGGCCTCCGCACGCAGCGGTGCCAACACGGCGGGAGGGGGTTGACGGAGGAGGAGGAGGAGGAGGAGGAGGAGGAGGAGGAGGAGGAGGAGGAGGAGGAGGAGGAGGAGGAGGAGGAGGAGGAGGAGGGGGGGCAGTTTTCGGATCCCGGGGGCCCTCGCCGGGCCGTGGGGCCGTGCAGAGCACGACTCGGGAGGCGAGGCCGGTCCCCGGGAAGGAGGCCTCGGCGGCGAGCCCAGGGGGGGGAAGTGAGAAGGGGCAGTCATGCACTCTGGAGCGGCAGACGTTCAACAGTTTAAGGCCACGGCATGCTACAGAGAGCTCAAAATGTTGTGCGACGAGTACGACGCCGAGAGCAAAGAGTCAGCAGGCAACGTGGAGCTGAAGGACCGCATCCTCGCGGTGTGCCACAAATACCAGCATTCGTACAAGCAGGTGTTCCGTGCCTTGTCAGGAGGCTCTTTGTTAATTCAAGCTTCGCGCGGCCCGCTTAGCTTCGAGCGGAAGAGGTGCGCTCTCGACCCGCGAATCAAAAAGTGCCCTCTCAGGAGGCTCGGAGGTCCCCCGCGGCCTTCTGAGAAGTCTGCCAAGCCTGCCCTGGAGACACAGACAAGCTCCCGGAGGGCGCGAGGGCTTCTGAGAAGTCCTGCCGCCTTCGGAGAGGGCCTGCTCCTTCTCGCTTCCCCCCCTCGCTCGCCGCCGATCTGGCAAGCCACGCGGTGGAGAAAGCGCGACGGGCGTTCGTGGTGGAGCGTTGCCGGCCTGGAACCGGCTGATATCGAAGAATCTGCGCCACCAGGAAGCCAGTCGTCCAAGGTTGCATTATCCATGCGGCGGCAGAAGGAAGCCGTCCCAGCACGAGCCTGCCGCACGGGATGGCCGCAGCAGCAGGGCACAAGGACAGCGTCTGGGGGCCATGCGCGGAAGCGGAAAAGAGGGGGGTGAGGATTAGGGGGGGTAAATATCATGGCAGGGGGGGCATGATATGTCCTCAGATTTTATGGCGCCTCTTCTTATTTCATTACGTCCCTGGTCCCCCCGTGCCGCCGGTCATGATTTGCACCCCCCCTCTTGGACACCCTCCTCTTGGCCGCTCCTGACATGCAGGCCAGGAGACATGCCCCAGGAGCTCCAGCGGCACTCCCAGATGCCCCTGCCGCGTGGCCGCCTCGCCCCCGTTTTGCGTGGGAGGGCTCACTTCGCGGAGGGCGAGGAGGGGCGAGCGGGGAGGACACGTGCACTCAGCGGCGAAGGGGTCCCGAGCGACGAGCCTCGTAGGAGGAGGGGCGGGGGTGCAAACGTACTCGTTGGAAGAGGTGGACTCGCTGTGGGATGAGGTGCTCTCATTGGGGGAGGGGGCGGGCGCGCACTCGTTGGCGGAGGGACCCTGGAGGCAGGTGCGCGCGTCCAGTCCTCGGCGCCTGGCGCCGGGCAGGAGGTGCCCTTCTCCACGCGGGCCCGCGCGGAAGCGCGAGAATCGCCACCCAGATCTCCGAGGATAGGCGATTCTTTGAGTTTTCGGAAGCCCTCGTCGTTTCCTGAAGCTTGTCTCGCCTCGGGCTGCTCTCCCGCAACTGCGCCTCGTCCAGGGCGTTCCGGGAGTGTCAGAATCGTCCCGAGCGGCCGCCGGAGGCTTGAGGTATGGCCTGAAATCCAGATCTCCGACGGCATGGTTTGTTCAACCGGCGATTTCTCCTCGATCTCTGCCTTGGGGGGCCCTTCTCGGGCTCCAGGGCCATCAAAAACGCACCCCAACTGCCCCCCGAGGGAAGCGGTCGGGACTTCGGGGGCCGCAGAGCGCCTCCTGCGGCGCGGAGGCGCGCGGAGGCGGGTGGCCTGGTCCGCCTTGGTCGGAGGACGTCAAGTGGACGCCGGCACCGGTCCTGGCCAGGCCGATGCCAGGCCCCGCGTGGGCTTGGTTAGGGGAACAAAAAAAGTGGCATGAACATAGCAACTCGGAGCTCGGCGCGGATTTCTCGGATCGGCGCTTGGGTTGGGCCCCCTGGCGGCGCCTCCGGCGCCGGAGCGCGCCAGGGGGGGGTCCAGCGCCGATCCGAGAAATCCGCGCGGACCTCCGAGTTTTTATGTTTATTTCACTTTTTGTTTCCCGTGTTGGTGTACGTGCATGGTCGGCGTCCTCCAACCCGGCGCGCGCGCGCGAGGTCAGCGTTGCCGCCCATCCTGGGCCAGGTGGCCCCCGTGAGCGCGTCCCGCAGCTTCACCGACAAGGGCCGCAGGCACAAAGGCCTCAAGGGGCGAGGAGGGGTGCTTTCGCGAGCGAGGTTGGCCTCGCGAGGCACGGGAGGAACTCATCGATCCTTCATTCATTCCCTCCAGCACGTCATAGTTTCGAGGTGAACCACGCCGGTTGGCTCGCATTTGATGCCGAAGATGTGATTTGGAAGTCGCTGGAGCCGCTGTTTCTTGCCAGCCCCAATAACTGCCCGACGCTGGCTTTCTGAGTGAGCTTGCAGCCCGCTCGTCATTTTGCAAGGCCACGGCCTCTGGTCTTGCGATCAGGAGGCCTTGGCGATCGCCCGAACGAGCACTCCATTCCGTTCTCCCTTCCCCGCTTCTTCACATTCCTTCTACTTCAGAAATGATGACATGCTCATTCCGTGCCCCCGACGGGATGCCATCCGACGACGCACTCGAGATTGGTGACATGTTCGTTATAGTATGTACCGGTATCCTGTCTTTCGATCGCGTAATGAACATCGTTTTTTTAGCTTACGATAAACACGCTAGCGGCATCGGTAACGGATCGATCGCATGCCAGAAGTTCTGAGCCGAACGGCAAGTAGCGTCGCGCACGAGGGCGCGTGGAGGCCGTGGCAGACGGTTGGCAGAAGCGTTGGCGATTTGCATCGGCAAAGGTGGCGCACGCATATATTGTACAGATCCGCCGTGTATTTCTGGCGCGTGTTTCGCAGCGCATATGAGGTGTTTCGAGGCTCTTCTTTTGCTTGCAACGCTTCAGGAAGTGGCATCTTGCTCTGGTGGACTATGGCCGAAAACTGGCAAAGGCCCGCAGTCGTGTTTTCCGTATAATATGTGTACGCTTCCGGTGCCAATTCGGGTTCTGGCACTACGTCCAATTACGGCTGCAATTATGTTTCTAAAGTTGGGGGCTGCGATTCCACAGGGCACGAAACTACGTACCACTCCAGCTTCGGTTTTTGTTCCCGTGCGGGTCCGAATGCCGTGCGTAATTTCAATGGGGCGGAAGATGCGTTTCCCTTAGGAAGAGAGGAAGGAACACGATTCACCTCCGATCCTACCAGCCCCCCCCCATCCCTGAGTCTGCTTTCTGCGGGCGCCCCCGCCGAGAGCGACTCCGAGCGATCTGATTACCATATGGATGACCCGCGGTGTCTGCCTGGCCCATTCGCCTTATGCACCCGGGCTTGTGCAAGGCAACCCAACCCGTCCGCTCCGTGTCTCTGAGCTTTTGTCAACGTTGAGTTTCTCTCCCTGGCCACTGGGTCGATTGCAATTGGACCCTCTCCCGACGGCAGCGCCAACCCGCCCCAAGACGACAGAGTCGTAGATTCTTGGCAGTTCAGTCCTGCGACAGTGCGTCGCGATTAAATTCCCAGTACGGCGGCTCGCCCGTACCTCAAAGCGGGTTTGCGTTCTTCGAACAAGGATAGACGCTAATCGATCCCGCAACAGTGCGACCACCAGCTGCCGCCAACGACACCGTTATGTGTGTCTTGCGTTTTATTGTTCTCACGCACGCGGAGACAATTGATGACGCACACCAACGGCCAGCATGCAGCGCGCCGATCATGTTTGATGACAGTGAGGTCAATCGAAGAGTATGCTATCGGAGAACAACTTTCCATGTTCGTCAAGACAAAACAGATGTTCATCAAGACAGAACACACAATAATAAACACCATCATAAAATACAGATAGCACATAAATATATATAGAGAGTAAAGGTATTTGCGTATACCCATACATATATATGTATATATACATACATATATATATACACATATATGTATGTGTATACGCATATACTTGTAATATACATATATATATATGTAGATATATGTACATTCCTGTATAATCATATAAATATCTCTCTCTCTCTCTTTCTCGCTCTCTCTCTCTCTCTCCATATACTCATGTACATAAGAAGACCGGAATCACAGCCTGCTTTAATACGGGAGATTGCGGTCTGGTTCCTCATGTCGCACCCATTTCGTAAAGGATCAGAGAAAAGGTGTTGCAGGTATGTTCATCGAGTCACACAGAATCAAAAGTTACATCCGGGTGGGAAAAAACCTGTCTTCAGCTCAAGCCCGACAGGCCGGCGGGAAAGCAGCAGAAGGAAGAAAGAGAAAAGAAGACAAGAGAAGAGCAAAGGAAAGACGAAAAAGGAGAGAGAGAAAGAGAGAAAGAACGACAGAGAAAACAAAAACACGACAAAGAAGAAAGAAACCAAGAGCAACGAAAGCAGGAAGCAACAAGAAGCAACGCAGGAAGAGGAGGGGAAGGAGGAAAAAAGAGGGAGACAGGGACACAAGCCCACATGCATGGCAAACGCGCAGCACGGGCGTCTTGCGTTCACGCAGGCCGCCAGAGGAAGCGGGAAGAGGAGGGGCAGAAGAAAGAAGAACGGAAAGTGAAGAAAAAAAATAAGAAACACAATGAGAGACGACAGACGAGCAGAAAACGAACAAAAAAATATCCCGGCAAAGCAACCTAACAGCGATGTGTAGGAGCATATTTGGAAGCATTCCCCTTAAGATTCACATGAGAATCCAGTTGTAGAATTCTGCTGTTCTCGCAGTCGCAGTCGCATTCGCGATGAAAGTCGCAGTGGCAACGGCAGTCGCAGTCACAGCCTCAGCCTCAGCCTGCCTCAGCCTCAGCCTCAGCCTGCCTCAGCCTCAGCCTCAGCCTGCTTCAGCCTCAGCCTCAGTCTGCCTTCAGCCTCGGCCTCAGCCTCAGCCTGCCTCAGCCTCAGCCTGCCTCAGCCTCAGCCTCAGCCTGCCTCAGCCTCAGCCTGCATCAGCCTCAGCCTCAGCCTCAGCCTGCCTCAGCCTCAGCCTGCCTCAGCCTCAGCCTCAGCCTGCCTCAGCCTCAGCCTCAGCCTGCTTCAGCCTCAGCCTCAGTCTGCCTTCAGCCTCGGCCTCAGCCTCAGCCTGCCTCAGCCTCAGCCTGCATCAGCCTGAGCCTCAGCCTCAGCCTGCCTCAGCATCAGCCTGCCTCAGCCTCAGCCTCAGCCTGCCTCAGCCTCAGCCTCAGCCTGCTTCAGCCTCGGCCTCAGTCTGCCTTCAGCCTCGGCCTCAGCCTCAGCCTGCCTCAGCCTCAGCCTGCATCAGCCTGAGCCTCAGCCTCAGCCTGCCTCAGCACCAGCCTGCTTCAGCCTCAGCCTCAGCCTCAGCCTGCTTCAGCCTGAGCCTCAGCCTGCCTTCAGCTTCGTTCTCAGCCTCAGCCTGCCTCAGCCTCAGCCTGCTTCAGCCTCAGCCTCAGCCTGCCTCAGCATTCAAAATGTGGCCCGGGAATGGAGTTCTGGGAACTCGAAGACCACGAAGTGGCCTACAGTTGGCTCCGGGCACCCAACATGTGGCCCGGGAATGGAGTTCTGGGAACTCGAAGACCACGAAGTGGCCTACAGTTGGCTCCGGGCACCCAAAATGTGGCCCGGGAATGGAGTTCTGGGAACTCGAAGACCACGAAGTGGCCTACAGTTGGCTCCGGGCATCCAAAATGTGGCCCGGGAATGGAGTTCTGGGAACTCGAAGACCACGAAGTGGCCTACAGTTGGCTCCGGGCATCCAAAATGTACGCCGGGAATGGAGTTCTGGGAAGTCGAAGAGCACGAAGTGGCCTACAGTTGGCTCCGGGCATCCAAAATGTACGCCGGGAATGGAGTTCTAGCAGCGCCAAGAGCGATTTTGCGAGGATGTCCCAAGCGATTTGGGCTTCGACGGCAGCCGCCCCGGGTCCCGCCCCGACCCCCCTGAGGAGTCATGATGCTCTCTTTTGAGCCTACTAGAAACCTGTCAGTCTTCGCTGTTAGGTAATGAAGGAAAAGAAGAGAAGAAGACAGAATTTAGAACGAATGAAAGGCCAGAAGAAAGGCAGGAAAAAAAAAACAAGACTGAGAAAGAATAATAACAAAGACGAAAGCAAAAGAAAGAAAAGACACTCGAAAAAATATCCCGGCAAAGCAACCTAACAACGATGTGTAGGAGCATATCTGGAAGCATTCCCCTTAAGATTCAGATGAGAATCCAGTTGTAGAATTCTGCTGTTCTCGCAGTCGTGGTCGCATTCGCGATGACAGTCGCAGTGGCAACGGCAGTCACAGTCACAGCCTCCGCCTCAGCCTGCCTCAGCCTCAGCCTCAGCCTGCCTCAGCCTCAGCCTGCCTCAGCCTCAGCCTTAGCCTGCTTCAGCCTCAGCCTCAGTCTCTGCCTTCAGCCTCGCCTGCCTCAGCCTCAGCCTGCATCAGCCTCAGCCTCAGCCTCAGCCTGCCTCAGCATCAGCCTGCCTCAGCCTCAGCCTCAGCCTGCCTCAGCCTCAGCCTCAGCTTGCTTCAGCCTCAGCCTCAGTCTGCCTTCAGCCTCGGCCTCAGCCTCAGCCTGCCTCAGCCTGCCTCAGCCTGCCTCAGCATCAGCCTGCCTCAGCATTCAAAATGCGGCCCGGGATGGAGTTCTGGGAACTCGAAGAACACGAAGTGGCCTACAGTTGGCTCCGGGCATTCAAAATCATGCCCAGGAATGGAGTTCTGGGAACTCGAAGACCACGAAGTGGCCTACAGTTGGCTCCGGGCATTCAAAATGTGGCCCGGGAATGGAGTTCTGGGAACTCGAAGAGCACGAAGTGGCCTACAGTTGGCTCCGGGCATTCAAAATGTGGCCCGGGAATGGAGTTCTGGGAGCGCCAAGAGCGACGCGAGGATGTCCCAGGCGATTTGGGCTTCGGCGGCAGCGCCCCGGTCCCGCCCCGACCCCTCTGAGGAGTCATGATGCTCTCTTTTGACCCATTAGAAACCTATCAGTCTTCGTTGCTAGGTAAAAACATGTTCGTAACTAGGTATTTCGAAAGTTTTCACGCAGTTAGGGGATCATTATGCTACTTTGTGTTCTGTTTGTGTGCCGCCGCTTTGGTTTGAGCACAGCGAGCGACAACTGTGGCATTTAAAATTATCCCGGCAAAGCAACCAAACATGAATGTGTAGAAGCATATATGGAAGCATTCCCCTTAAGATTCAGATGAAAATCCCATTGTAGAATTCTGCTGTTCTCGCAGTCGTAGTCGCATTCGCGATGACAGTCGCAGCGGCAACGGCAGTCGCAGTCACAGCCTCAGCCTCAGCCTGCCTCAGCCTCAGC